ATGTCAACTGGATCTATTTAGTCCATTTAATACCTAGTGTCCCTTGGGCTGCGTCATATAGTGCAGTCACAGGCGACAAATAGTTGAACTGTATGGTTATTTTCTACCCCATATAAAGCTACAATAAACTAGTTATCATTAATGCTGCGTACACCATCACAACAAGCGAGTTGCGTTCGCACTAACGGCCATTACCGATAATGGGGTTTGCCACCCAAAATTGCCTTGCTAGAAAAATTTTGGGAGATCCAAAATCGGAACGCCTCATGCTTCAACCCTCATTAAATGCCTCTGTACCCGCACTCATGACCACCTTTTGCAAATGGTCCTCACTGATTTTGCCAAAATATAGCGGGAGTTCAGCGCCATTGAAGGCTGCCAAAAGCCAATGGAAAGGCTTCTAAGAGCGCACGAAGCAACGTTCTGCACTTCACTTGCATTGGATAGGAAAACACGATACTTTTCGTCCTATTTACAATATGATTGGTCGATAAAACTGAAGCACAACGTCATCGTTACAGCATGGAAGGTTCCCTTAACAGCATCGTCAAAGACACTCTGGGAAATCATCTAGTAATTATATCAGATTTGGTGTTTTTTTCAAGTTTCGTCCCTAATGAATCTGTCTTTCGTTTTCCCCATACCATTAGCTTGATTTCGACTCGCAACCATTGGCAAGGCTGTTGGTTTTTGGTGTTTTTCGGGTTTCAAACCGGCCGGATTAATGGCCTCTCTCTGGATAAAGATGGTTCAATTTTCTGTATGCCATTCTGCTCGGAAGTAGCGTTGACAGCCGTTCACCAGAAGCAAACTCAAATTATTTCAAGCGAACATGTGGAGTGCCCAACGATGCAACAGAATTTGATGCTTTGTGCGTTACTGGCGAAATAACGCACCTATGTTGATAATCTACTTTCTCTAATGGGCATGACTTGTCGGTACCTCATGCCCCCCATTTCTGGCTCCTTCAAAAACGGTGACTTTTCACGTAATAAGCCTGTCGTCTCGATGATAACTTTCTCCCCGTTGTGCTTTTGCCCACCATGTTTATGTGGTACCAACCTGATTCTACCTCCATTAACGTGTTTCCCATGAGCTTGGAAATAAAACCACTAGTGGTAGTAGTGGGAAGTGTAGCGTCATGAAATAACTCCAAGTTGAATGGCAAAAACCATCTCTCCTAATGTAACTAATCGCATTCCTTTCTCAGAATACATCAGGCAAAAATAAGACCAACGAACGCCGTTCATTACGATAACATCACGCGTCGTCGTCTACCTTGACTGCTTTTCGTACCCGCTTAGCACGTCCATATGCGCGGCGCTAGTTATGAATCATTGGTCGTGCACAATGGCAAACAATGGCTCATCATATTAAACGCGTTGTCGCTTATCTCTGCCATTTATAGTAAACGCCAGGCCAGGATGTATGATGGCCGATGAACATCCAACGACGACATGCATTCAAATCCATACATGTCGTTCTAATGCCAAGTCTATGCCTAAAATATACGCAACCACCATTGGCGAATCATGTTACTATTTGTAGGTTGCATCCATACGAACGTGCTGTGTTGTCAATTCATTTATCGTTTTGAGGTAACCGCTTCCTTCGACAGGTTCCTGAAAGGAAGGATGTACGATCGATTTCAACTCGTGTGTATCTTACACATTACCACTGAGAGCACAATTAGGCGAAGTTGTACTGGCTTACTCTCCAATATATCCCAGTGTCTACAATTCCTGATCGCTGCCTGTGCTGAAGTTGTAGTCTAACTGCTACAACTTACTACTCGTCAACTTTGTCCCATTAGCGATCATGAGCAGGCTGTATGTAAACCGATGTTAAGAAAGCGGGATTCAGTGAACATATGCATTATAAGTGGCAGCTAAGTTAAAGATAAAGTGAGGAGTATACTAGTTAGTCGTATACTAGTCAGATCAAATAGTAAGACAAGCCCTGTGGTCCAAAGGCCCCAGGCGCCTTCAAACGCACACCCATGGATGATCTGGTGAGTGAGCAGCACTTGGCGACCGGTTTGCTCATTCTGAGCACTAAATTCTACCTTCACTTCAGTTATGCCCCCCAGATATTGGCAACATGTACAATAAACAACTTCGTCATCCCCACCATGACCTGTAACCATCCCATGCTCAACCGCAGTCGGGGTTTTACCTGATGGGGCCTTTCTGTGAAATCGAGGTTAGCTTAAGGGCCTTTCAGAGTTCGCCCCATTAACTCATCTGTTACGAAAGAAAACAGGGATATAGAGGGCAGATACATCTGTCGGACAAAACGTTGTATACGGAAGCTTTTGGAAAACTCTCCATATGCTCTCACACGTGCGGAAGTCTGAGAATACAACTAACTTATTATGTTAACGAACATCCGGGGCATTCTTTGATGGGTGAGAGTGTTAAGTAGAACAGATCAGTCAGCCTAGTCGAACGCGCATTATAAATCCGGGACTAAGGAACTTGCGAATCTTTTGTGTATATGGCGTTGCTTTCGCACCTGGTGGATTGTGCAACCTTTAAAAGTCCGCCAAATCTTTCCGTAATTTATCCGCCCCTTCCATACATCCTATCCATGACGATGCAAAGGACCACATGGTTGTCAACTCTCACTTCAACTGCATATCTTCTCTCCAAAGACATCACCAACCTATGTTGAGTCCCATACTTTGCCTTTCACAATGGAAAAACGGAGGACTAAAGCAAAAGCAACATTCGTCAGAAGCCGATGACGCCAGCCTGAGCTTGCCCCGGTTGAAGTATATATACTGGCTATTCCCCTATGCATAACAAATTCATTGATATCAGAGCGAGAAATGCTAACATACTCAAGCGATACACGCGTCATGGCACCTAAGAAGCGGCCCGTTTTGTAGAACTTCCATACTTGTCTTTAAAATGAACTACGACATTCTGCGGTCATCTCATAGTACGAATATGCAACACTACCAGATCCCACGTTTAGCACTAGCCTCGGGTCTCTGCATGATCCGGTCTACCTTAGTGGCGCACACTTTAACTGGTGCACTTCCCTGGAAATCTTTTGCAACCACACCTGTTCACATCGACTGTACACCTATTACCTAAGACTGATACCGTGTTCGAAATCTGGCAGCTATGCCCCACTGCAGTAGTTGGAAATCGTGAATACTTTTGGCCACTTGCTATTTCGGGCCGCAATTTAGCAAATACCATAGTGCCCCCTGGCAGATACCTTGACACTTTCTACTATTTAGGCTCCTAGATGCAGACTCGGCAGTCTTGTTGCCTCGCTTGAATGGCGCTAGAGATCAACCGTGCGCCTTCGATGGATGAAATAATATGCTTAATCCATACTGGTCTTAATGCGCCATGATTCCTTGGCCAACCTAAACGTCCATGACAACACCAACTGATTCACTCTGGATGTTTATTTATGGGGCTGTCCACGAATCCAGGTTCGACGTCGCGCTGACGGTACCGCTACCGCCATGGTGGCTCGCCTTGGTTCAACAGATTTCCCCCATTTCCGGCCCGAGCATTGCATACGCGAACATGACTATCCCAAACCACCGAATTCTTACCAGAACTTCAAACCACTGGCCGCTCTATTGAACGGTACACATGTTCTGCCCAGAAACCCAGTAAATCTTCCGAAGGGACCTTAAAGGAATTAGTTTACCGGTGGCGATAGATGCCTGCCATGCACCCGAAACAGCCTACTCTAATTATTAAAATACAGGACAACTTACTAGCTGGAAGGAATACTTTGAATGTCTTTGGCAGGGACTCTACCGTAATAAACTTGTTCATATACTCTTGAGATTATTTCCAATTCTAATACTGAAGGAAACACGTTAATAAACAAGATTTTCCATAAAACTTTTCGTGGTCTCCACGGAGACATCATATGAAGCCAGCGGCGGCCATTTTAGTGTGGGATTTCAAGAAGCCACCGGTTTTCGACGTTCGCGAAGATGTAGGCCAAGCACACGCCGTTTCTGAAATCTGCGGATATAGGAATTATTATTTTTGGAACCAAGAGGTACACAGAACGCATTCGTGCAGATTAGGTGACACTTGAGTGAAGACCTGGGCAGGGCAATAACGTGTGTATATTTGAACCGATATTACAGGCACAAATCGAATACATACATAGACATAGCTGAAGTTCAATTGAGATTACAGTCGGGCTAAAACTTGTCTGGGGCTCATCCACTTTGTATTGCGGCACAACCCTACAATGTGGATTCTGGGCTGGTAGTGGACATGGAGTATGTTAAAACAATTTCCAACAAAACTCGTCCCAACTGGGGGGTTTAGGGGTTGGGATAGATACCATAAGATTATGAAAAATTATGTTAAAATTTCCTAAGTTTCCTCTAAGGTTTCAAAGAAATGCGAAGCGTGCGCGTGTGGATCAGCGTGCCGATATCCCGTAAGTTGGGAAGGGAAAGTTATCGGTGTTCAGTATTCGCAATATGGAATTGAATTTTTGTACGCTACGACATGTCCCTAGTAGACTGAAGCATACGGGTAGATGAGTTCAGAATACCAGTCTAAACGTTTGAGCCCGGCGTCCCAGTGATGCTAGGAAAGTATTCCACCAGAATTTTTCTGTCCGGACTATGACTGCTTCATTGGACAATGAAATTCGGTGGGCTGAGAACGTATGAATGTAGAATGATGTAGGTATTTGTTTGAGCACATAGCAACAAAATGCAACATTTTGGCGTGAAAAGTTTTATTCCATCCGCAAAGGCTTTGTAGCTAAGAGCATTGTGTGGCCAAGGAACCTCAAATTTGTCCCGAAGTCGTCACCTTTTGTATCCACCAATCAGCGACACCCTCGTCAGTTGGAAAGTACCCGACACCAACTGGACTGCATGCCGTGAGCTGCGGGTGTTTATGTTTCACGAGCGATGTCTATTTCCAAACTGCTCGTTCGTAGTTCGAAGGAGGTAATGTATACTTTATTAACAAATTATATGGTATCAAATTTTCTAGGGGTCTGGTGGTCGACTGCATCTCAAACTCTCTTGGAAGACAGCCGCACTGTTTGGCGTACCAGTTGCAATCGTTGGCATAGCGGGGATTTCCTATTATCTGTATAAACGGCGTGAGTCATTCATCCCAGTTTTATTTGATGCATTATTCTGTTACATGTACCTACTTTAAATCGATTCTCGCCGTCTTTGTGACACGCAGTACTGACACTTAGGTACCTTGAGCGCGCGTTTAAGAGGACTACTAGAACCTAGAGCTACTGCAACACACTTATAAGGATTATTGGGAAAGTTCACTGCTTGTTCAGCGCTGTTCTGTACAAATTCCATGTGAGCTGATAAAAAATTGACCACCTATTCTGCAAATCAGTCCAGGAAAATCCGTTAGAATAAGTGATCTGTGCACCAAATCCGCTGCTAGACCGGTGAGGAGAACTGGACTCGTAAAGGTTTGACCGCCATTCAGCGTTTTGATTCTCAGTCGGCCTAAGCCGTTTATAACGTGCGTTATCGAGTGGATACTTGTTGAAAACGTTGAATGAGAGTGATGTCCGGCGGGGCCATTTGAAGAAGCAGGTTGGAATACAATCTATCGCTGTCGGATCCTATGAGGGAGTCTTGAGCCGGATGAGTTAGACCATGTGGAGCCTTTATTTCGGATGCTGATGCTCCTTGCTTCTGCATGGCAGCCGACAAAGCACGGATTCCACCGGCAGTAGAAAATAGCGACGGTATGCAGTCACAATCGGGAGTGAACGAAAAACAGTTGTTCGTAGGCTAGGGTGCCTGTTCCTCACTGCCGAATAATCGAGTAAGGAATTAGCTAAGGAACAAATAAGAGCCATGCAGAGCCTTTCCAGGCAGTCACAGACAAGGCGAATGTTCCAGGCGACTCGATTATTTAGACTGTCATATATTTCTTGATAACCCTTTAGCCGCGAGACACTCAATTTTTCGGTTTAATTCGTCAGCTATAAACCATATTCCAGGGGTACATTGGTTCCAGCTGTTACAGTTTCGATTACTGGGAAAATGTAATGGCGTTGCAGATACAGTCGAGCACTGGAGGCGATGGCGTGTTGTAATATGCACGCCATGGAAACACCGGGGGACAGTGATTCTCTGAAGGCAGGTGTTCACGACAATTTCTGTGGATGGAAAACAGAAATAAAGCTCATGAGCCAAGGCCCGGTAAGCAAGGTTGTACATAACCAATACTTACATATGAATCAATCAAAATGACAGACACCGTATGCTA